TTACATGACCTTCTCTTCAAAGCCTAACTTCACTGGCTTCCTCGTTAGTCTTTCACTATCCATTTAAACTGTTGGCTTTCAGCATTCTAGTTCTCAGTCAGTCCTCTTATTTATTTACCTTTCTGCCCTCAGACTTCATCTTTCATTTCTGCTGAGTTACTTACATCCACTTGTTCATACAGCGGGTTTAATATGCCGAAAACCAGACTCAGCATTTCCCTCTAGAGTGACTTCCCTTTTGCCCCAGCTGTTTATTCTCTGAGAGATAAACCTTAAAAAAATACATCACCATCTTGTACTTCTCCATTGCCTGTGTTCTCTACATTTCTGGCAGAATTCTTGTCCCTGTATTGTGGCAAAACCAGCTTACCTACCATGTAGTGTAGGACAGTTCTCAGACATTATTGGGGATGTCAAAAAGCCCCAATTCAGTGATTCTTCCTTTAGCTTTGAGGTGGTATATTTGCTGGTTCTGTTCTGAATTTAAGATTCCAGTCTCCCATCTGTTCCCAGTTCCTGCTCTGGTTTCTTAACCATTGCTGCCAGATCTCCCTAATGCCTAGATCAGCACATTCTGAACTTTAATGTGCACATGCATCCCCTGGAGATCTTGTTAAAATGCAGATTATTTTTTAAATGCAGATTATCAGGAAGTCTGGGTTAGTGCTGGAAAATCTGCATTTCTAACAAGCTTTCAGATCATGTCCACACGGCTGGATCAACGAGTGAGTACTTTTCGAGTAGCAAGAACCTATAGCAACATCCTCTTCAATGTGCATTCTTGTTTACTCTCTTCCTCAGCAGAAAGGACAGAGCAAGTACTGTTTACTGTGATGGTCTCTGGATACCACTGCCTGTATCATTGGTCTCCAGCACAGCACTGTGCTGGAATCCCCTGGGACCTCTTAACCAGGCATGGAGGCACACGCCTGTGATCCCAGCACTCTGGGAGACTGAGGCGAGATGATCAAAAGTTCAAACCCAGCCTGGGCAACTTAGTATGACCCTATCTCAAAGTAAAAAATAAAAAACGAATAAACAAGAAAAGAACTTAGGATGTAGCTCAATGTGAAGGTCCTGGGTTCAATCCTCAGTATGGAAAAGAAAAGAAAAAAAAGAAAAATACTGGTTCTTGGCTTCTATCCCTATAATACAGATAGTACAGTTGTAGCTACAGGCCACTCCCCTCCACTCACTTGAACCTGAGCAATGTCCCAGGGCCATCTCAACAACCCTTGTCGGAGCACTTACTAAATAAAGGCAAAGAAAAGTCTCCGAGCCTGCCCTGGAAAATTTCCAAATTCCAAACCAGGTCACATGCAAGCCAGACCTGCCAGCATGACCTGCAGTAACCTTTCCTCACCTGGAGCTCATTGAAGGTTCATGCACATGGACTGCATCTCATACATCCAATTGTAACAGAGTGGATTATGGGAAAGGACTTGCACAGGAGACGCAGCTGACGTGACGCAGTGCCCTGTTGATGATGTTGTCAGTCATGTTCTGGAAGGCCCAAAGGGAGGTGCTCCAGGACCAGCACAACATTTTAAACCTCTACATCTTATGCTCCCAGTGCTGGTGCCATTTTCCTGTCCCAGGTGCGAACCTGCTCACTCTGAGTGTAGTATCACCTTAATAAACCTTGCTGCTTTTTCCTTACTGTCTTGAGCTAAGTTGAATTCTTTGATCATCACACTCACAAGCCTAGGAACCTGCCCCACACCCCATCACCCATGTAACACCTGGCCATTTCAATTCAGTAGGTCTGGGATTGGGCCTCAGAATGTGTATTTTTATAAGGTACCCCTAGACAATCTTGATGATTTTTTTTAAAGAATTCTGTCTCTTAGGCTAAAGTCCAACCTGAAGCCTTAAATGCAAACTCTTTCCTGGTAGATCCAACATCTTTTATTTCTTATTTTTTTACTCTTCTGCAAACCTTTGTTTCAGGCAAATTATCTGTCAGACAAACCCAGAGCATCGCCTGCTCTTTATTTTGGTTATAGTTAGATATTCCACCCGTGCTATAATAAGTTTATCTGCACGTGTTCACTGTTGTTTAGCAAGAATGCTAGCTACCAGGAGACACATTGCCATGCACATAACTAGTGGGAAGAAAGTCGGTCTCCATTCTCTTTGGTCCCATTCTGTCTACCCATCCTCCTAAATTTACCCAAGTCACTATCTCCCTCACATTAAAAACCCAAAGAACATCAAATTTTCTGGAAGAATGGAAAATGTGACTATAAATTAAACTAACAGTAGAGGTAACACCCCTGGCCCAACAGGTAAGAAAAAATGCTGAGTCATGCTCCAGTTCTATTCAGAAACTGCAGTCTCTGAGAACAGACACCTGGTACTACACTTGTTCCTTGTCATTTTCATAAGTCACAGGCATCTCACACTCATCACTAAACACAAAGCTAAGCAAAGGTCTGAATGTGTTCATTCAGGTCTGCTGGAGGGTAACCCATAAAGGTAGGGACGGAAGGAGTGATTACAGCTAATTAGCTGAAATGACATCAAAATTATCTAATTAGATTTTTAAAACATCCTTGATCCTAGAAAATATTAGGTGTCCAACCTCAGTATACCTTCACTCCTAAAATACCATTAGAACATTTGATAATGCTGTGGAACACAATACTAACACCAGCTGTGAGAAAGCAACATCTCTCAGCATCCATTTAGCTTATGTGGGAAGAAGCACATACTGCCCAATTGGATTTAAGAGGTGAGACTAACTCAGCACACAGGAACATCAAAAGAAATAAAGAGAAACCATACTCAGCGTCTTCTTTGTGAACCAAAACTCTAAACCAAACGTCTTAGCAAGAATACAGGATCAGTAGAGCATGGTAGCCCATGCCTGTAATCCCAGCACTCTGGGAGGCTTAAGCAGGAGGATAGCAATTCCCAGTCCAGCCAGGAGAACTGACAGACTTAGCAAGATCCTGCCTCAAAAAAATTAAAAAATTAAAAATTAAAAAAAATTTAAAAAATAAAAACAGGGCTTGGGATATAGCTCAGTGAGATGGCCCTGGGTTCAGTCTCCAGTACCACCAAAAAAAAAACCCCAAATCACAATCTCACCAACCTGCCCTTCATACTGCTCCTTCCCCTCCCCTTTCTTCCCATCCAATTGACCTTTCTGGACTTGTAGCCATCCGCTAGCTCAGTGCCCTGCCTTTCCCTTATGCCTCTATTTAGGCATATACTATTTTCTCCATTCAAAAGGCCCTGCCAAACACTTACTCAACCTTTAAGATCAAGTACCACCTTTTCTGAAGCAAAGGTAGTTGCATCATTCTAGAAAGGACAGGGGGTCTAAAGAGCTGCAAGTATGCATGTCTTTTTTTTTTTTTGGTACTGGGGATCGAACTCGGGTCCTTGAGCTTGTGCAGCAGGCAGCGAAACCACTGAGCTAAATCCCCAGCCCTAGTATGCATGTCTTTGTGTGATTTTTCTCAGCCTCTTACACAGTGCCTGGAAACTTTTGATTCTCTATAAATTTCTCTCAAGTGAAAGGAAGAGTTGCTGATTCCCTCATATGAGTAGGATCCCTTCCCTGCGGATCTAAGATCAGTCACTCTTCTGACCATTTCCAGAGTAAACCTTTCCTCCTCAATCCCCAAATAATAATCACAATAAGAATAATAAGTAGCTACTATTGAGTCCTTACTGTGGGCCAAATACTGTTTACTTTTAACAAGGGTCATTTTATTTAACGTAACACATTGTCCCCACTGTACAGATGAGAAACCTGAGTCTTAAGAGCCTCAGTAACTTCCCCAGGTAATAGAAGAGGGAGCCAGGATGGATAAGAACCCATAGACAGCATTATTAAGCTATCCTGCCAGCCTCGAATGGACACTACCAGGCTGGTGGTCACTGACTCCTTACTGGTGATGCTGAATTCCCTTGAGAAGTGCTTCTACCTCCGGGCAAGCAGCATCTGGCTTCTTCCTGCTGCAGAAGATGGAGCCTTCTGTATTTACCAAAAGAGCATGGCAGCCACTTTGGTGCTGTGTCCGTCCTGAAAATGTCCATGGCAACACACTTGGGGGCCTTTCTGGGGGGCTCTGGCCTGGGAGCCAGTACAAGTCTCTGTTCTTCATGGGTCCTGTGAAAGGAGGCCTTCGATAGAAACATTAGTAGTAACTGGCTTTCTGCAATGAGCCTGGAAAAGCCTGCTGCACATAAGTCTTAGAGATGCCCCTTATAATGTATTCATAAGTTGTTGGCTAAAGGACTTATAGTATTTCCTAATGAAGTCTTTCCTAACACTTCTTGAACTCGAAGTTCTTTCTACCAGCCTCTTAGGCCCTTCTGAGCACCTGTAACTCTTTCGCAGTCCTTCATTTCCCATTCAAGGTGAAGGGGAAATTTGTTGTGAAATCCGGCAAGCATTCGATAAAAAATTGCAAATAGCTACATCAAAATGCCAATTCACATTACTTTTCAATCAGATGAGAAAAGACTCACTTTCCCAGGAAAGAGTATTGATCTTTGTGAGTAAAGAATATACACTAGCTGGCTCTCTGGAAAGGGAACACGAAGGGCTTAGCAAAACCCCAGGGTAGAGCCCCTGGGCATGACGTTTCTGGTTTTCCCAGATGTGCGCTGCTGAAGGTTTGAGGGACGAGCCCAGGAGCGAGACAGCCACACACCCAGACACCTTGTGCATCTGTGTGCTCTGAATTCGGACAGACATTTTACAGCAGCCCCACACATGCCGCTCTAATGTATTAGAAAAGATGAGGAAGTGGGGTGTGAGTCCCATCTGAGTCCGTGGAGATGGTGTCAGAAACATGCCTCTGCAGTGCTAGCGACGTTTATTAAATACCTCTCCTAAGTCCCGTGGGTTTAAATGAGAAGCCCAACTGCTTTGCAAAGCAGTCTGCCGGTCGCTTCTCCTTTGGAGAAGGCAGGCGTCTGGGCAGTGATTGAAGTGTCCAGCAGGGGGCTGGCATTCGCGGTCTAGCCTCGGCTCCGCGGAGCGGCAGTTTGCTGGTGGAGCCGATGACGCGCACAGCACCCTGCCTATAAGATTCGAGGTTTGCTCAGTGCAGTTTTTTCTACCCACTTTAAACCTTCAGGTTCTAAATATCAGGAAAGACAGGGAATGCTGTGTGAAAATAGCCAAAAGTTCTCAGTGAACTGCAGCCAGGGGACTCAGACCAGGACAGAGGTAGAAAGAGCTGCCAGAGTGGGTTTCATTGGAAGCCTTTTTGGGGGCTGAGTTTTTGTTGTTAATTTACTGGAGTTATGGACTGAACTGACTGTGTGAAAGCCAGAGCAGCGTTAGCATAAAAATAGTGACAAAGAGTTTTGAATATCATAGTATATATGGGTTCAGAGTATTTTTATTAAAGAAGTTAGTGAGCCCAGCACAGCCAACATCTGCATCTTCACCTAACTGCAGAATCAAAAGTTAAGAAACAGCATCTTCAGGGCACTTGGAGGTGAGGAGAAGGATGGATCCCAGCAATTGTTTCCTTCTGAAATTGGAAGGGGAGCATTTCACGTACTGCAACACCTCCAATGGCAGTTCGGATCTCCCCCAGAGCGATGACTGGCTCCACCCGGGGATCCTCTATGTCATCCCTGCGATTTATGGGGTTATCATCCTGATAGGCCTCATTGGCAACATCACCCTGATCAAGATCTTCTGCACAGTCAAGTCCATGAGAAATGTGCCGAACCTGTTCATCTCCAGTCTGGCTTTGGGAGACCTGCTCCTCCTGGTAACGTGTGCTCCTGTGGACGCCAGCAGGTACCTGGCCGACAGATGGCTATTTGGCAGGATGGGCTGCAAGCTGATCCCCTTTATCCAGCTTACCTCAGTGGGGGTGTCTGTCTTCACACTCACGGCACTGTCCGCAGACAGGTAAGCACTGGCCGAAAGTTACCTGCTCTCCCGGGGTGCCAGAGGCCTCAGGCAATGAACTGCCAAGTGTCGCGCCTTGACCCATGGGGCTGTTGGTACAAAAGCAAGTTTTATTCCAACTTGGATCCCCTTCCAGGCATGTTTCTTTTCGGGAATCATTTACTGAGTTTGACATATTGGTTCTAGAAAGAAAAATGGGTGAATTGTGGAGACAGAAGGAGACAAATGAGGGGGAAAAATCCCTGACTACAAGACAGGGGTGCATTTTCCTAACTTCTCCCTCCCTGCAAAATTAATTGACCATCACACCCCATAGCTTCCAGCTCAGGCAAATGTCTCTTTAGAAGCAATCCAAACCCTTTAGAGAGCAGAGAAGTCTCATTGCTCGTCTTGAAAATATTCTTTCAGAAATAACCCAGAGGAGAAAATAAGCCTCATTTCTTTGAAATTTATTTTCCTTAGACAGTTTAACTTTTTTCACAGCTGATTTTGTATGTGGTTGTCTGTGACTGAAGAGTTGTGTGCTGTTTTTTCTAAGTCTCTCTTAAATGGTTTATTTTTTCCCTCTGCGGAGAAAACTCCATTCAAGCTTCACTTTTAATTTTCATATCTTTATTGACATCCTTCTAGATACAATATCTTTGGGGGTTGGTGGGGAGCGAGGGGGAAGGAGTCCAGTATAGAGGTTTATTCTGGGAAAGATATGCATATTTGTGAACTGCATTACTTATGTGAATGCATTGCATAAAAATGTGCATTTATTCATTCTTAAAATTTTTTTGCTCTCTTCAACATTTATTAGAAATTTATCTTGTAACAAAACACTTTGCTTGAATTAACAAGTTGGGAAATATCTGCAGGTTGTGCACACAAATTGCTGAACATACCTTATGTATTTCTGGGGTCTGAAAATTGGACGTCGAAAAGATTGGACTTTCCGACACAGCATAAACAAAAAGGTCAAATTAACAAAAAAAGATTCATTAGCCAGAGACTATAAATTTTTAATCTCAAAATCAGCTGTATGTTACATCCTAGAGATCGCCAGGACTTGAGAGTGCACTGGAAAAGCCACAGTTTCTACTCAGAAGCAAGTGTCCCACGTTTTAATACATGTGGTGCTGGATTCTCATTTTGCGGGGGAACAAATAGTTCTCAGGTGAGCCGACCTTGCAGAGTAATGGACAAATAAAGACAGCGTTATCAGTATTTGTAGACTTGTGCTTATGCTCAGCTGCCTGAGGTGCACTGCTCAGCACACGTAACACTTTCAAAGACTGAAAAGTAATGGCCCAGAGGGGAGGGGCAGGGCTTCTGCACTCCCTCCCCTGGCCTTGCGCGTGCTCTCAGCCTGCACATTTGCCTACCAGGCACAAGCGACCTCACGCAGTTTCCGTGTCAATTCGGGGCCGGCAGACTTTGGAACTGGCAGAAGCTCTGTGGCTAGTTACCAAGGGCCGAGGGCACTTCAGGATGAGGGTAATTTTCTTGCTGGGAAGGCGAGATTTCAGCTTCCGGGTTGATGAATGCAGTGGTGCAGATGGTGTTTACTGTCTTCTTGGGGAGGGAAACAGAGGAAAGCGAGGGCATGGAATGTAAAGATGCAGCTGCAGGGACCTCGTCCCCCGAGGTTCAAAGCAGACCCAGCAGCTCACCATCAGCAGAAAGGCAGAGCTCGTTTCAAAGCTGGCTTGCACGCATTGTCAGCTGCAGTGAGTCCTCAGGAAGTTTATAGTTACCATGTGTCCTTCTCAAGTTGAGAAATGACTATGAGCTCCTGTATAACTAACTTCTTGTGTTTTGCTATGGCGTTGAAAAGCTGATGGTCACCTGAGTTCCAGGCAGGGCACCTAACTGATTTCAACAAGAGTGGTATCAGCTAGTTGAGGACATAAGACTATACTTTTCTACTTATTTCATTTTTTAAAGCCATGGGGTTCTTATAGCAACCTTATAGGTTTGCCAGTGCAAGCACATATTTTATACATTTTCTTCTAAACAAGGTGTAATCTATATACCCAGTAAACGGAACAAGTTAAACCAGCTCAATATATTGTCACATATATCTATATAACTGTATCCTCACTACCCAGTTGAGATACAGCAGTTCCAACACCCCAGAATTTCTCTTATGCTCCTTCCTAGTTAATATTCCCACAGAGAGGCAGTTCTGATTTCAGTCACGAGCAAATATTTATGCCAATTCTTTAATCATACATAACTGGAATCATATAGTGATTACTCCATGGTGTCTGTCTCCTGATGCTTATTACTTCTGTGTTGTTCATCCATATTGGTGCACACAAACAGTAGTTTACTTTGTGAGTTGTGTACAGTGTTATATGAATACACCGCAGTATATTTATCCATTCTAGTACTGACGGACACTGGGTTATTTCCGGTTTGGTGTTGATAATAACCATTCTGGACATTCTTATTATGCCTTTGAGGGAACATAAGAGTTTATTTCTTTGGGAGTATATGTCCAAGTATGGAATACTGGGTCAGAGGGGCATAGATTTGGCAAATGTTATCAGTTTTCCAAAAGTGGTATTTGTTATTTGATAGGCTGATAAAAAAGATAAATTAAAAGACCCTCCAAACTAGATGATCATCAGAATCCTAGGGGAACTTTAAAACCATACAGCTGCATAGGCCCCTTCCTAAATTTACTGAATCAGGGTATCTGAGGTGTGACCAGAACCGATAGTGATAATCATCCATCCCTGCCCTCCACAGGTGCTCATTCCGACCTCCCTTCTTCAGTCCCCTCCCTCCCCAGGTGAACTTGGGGCTTTGTCAACATGAAAAGAGTAACATTCTTCTAGAAAAATATATACCACTGTTGCTCTGGCAAAGGAGATTTTAAGGCAGCCCCCGAAGCAGGAATTCTGGGATTAGCCCAGCTGACCAGTTGCAGGTTTACATTCCAGCCCTTCAGACCTGCTGTCCTTCCACACACGGAGGTCCCCATACACAGTGGCTCTGTTGACCTGTTCCTGTCCCGCTGCTCTCCAGCACCCTTTCTCCTTCCCTAAGTATGACCCTCGGCTCCTCATCCTGTATAGTTTGAATGGGCATCAGTGTACCCACCTGTTAGACATTTTTGTCACTCCTGGCCGCGAAGGAGTTGGACTAAGCCACTTAACCCTATGGCCTTAATTTAGTCATCTATAACATGATGACATTTGAGCTAGATTATTTCTAGGGTACCTGCAAGTTCTAAAATCTTGTGATTTTTATCTGCCATCTTGCCTCATTCAGAATCTGGCACAAGCCTCCTCCTCAAAGCCCTAAGCTGAATCATTCTAGCCCAAATTTCCTCGTCCTTTTCTAAACATGAGACTTATTATTTGAGACATGAATAGTCTTGTGACATCTTTTATCTTGCTTTTCTGAATTATTTCACTTGTCTTTTTAAAAATCCTTCGATGTATTCATTGCTTTAAGTGTTTAAGTAGATTACTAAGAATAACAAGAGTAGACATTTGATATACTTTAGTACAAAATCCAGCTCCCTGGTAACGCAGCCACATGTGAAGTGCCCCATCCCGCATGAGCTCAATGGCTACTCCACTGGCTACACAGTCTCAGAATGGCCCTCTCCCTGCAGCAGGTTCTATTGGGCAGTACAGAAAAGAGCCTGCCCTGTGCATGGGCCGAATCGCTCTCCCGGGACCCAGGCCTGTGGCTCTCTCTCAGGCAGCCCGTCAGGATTTCCTCTGATCTCAACGCCTCCCAGCTGCTCAGGCTTTCCCTGTCTGCGAAACACCTTCTTTTGGTAGACACTCACAAATGAAGGGGGAAGCAATCCTGCAGCCCAATACCATCACAGGCGTGAAGAATTTAGGTACCCCATTGGTAAGGTTTTGAGACTTTCTGAAGAATACGTGAGAAGGGGTCCACTTTCAAGGCCTGCATTATGAACTTTGTTTTGTTGTGCTTTTGTTGAGACAGGGTCTCACTATGTAGCCCAAGCTGGCCTCAAACTTGCAGCAATCCTCCTGCCTCAACCTCCCGAGTGTGGGGATCACAGGTGTGCGCCACCACGCCCAGCTTTGCATTATGACCTTTCTGTCCTCTCTTTCAGGCCCTCTTCCATCTATGAGTCTATTTTTATGTTTCCCTGTCCTAAGACTTACCAGAACAAACACTGCTCTGTCCAAACTCCCACATGTACCCCGCCTCTCCCCTCCCTGCTGGCTGGGCCCTGTCCCCTCCATCTCCTCAGATCTTATGAGCCCTGCAAGGGACAGTTCAAGTCCCTTCTCTTCTACAAAGCATTCTCTAGTCATTTGCTTTCATTGATTTTTCCCTTTCTCCAGATATTTTTGCCTATATTGTTTATCAGTTACCAAATCTACCTCGCTTTGTACTACTCCGCCACTATACAGATTTCCTTTTTAATCACATGAGAAGCTCTATGGAGTCTGTCTTCTATGAAACCCAGGGTCACCCTACTTCTAATAAGAGTATGATAACTTTTCTAAAAATTCTTCTTCTTCACTATTGATGGGACTGTAAACTGGCACAACCACTATGGAAATTCCTCAAAAAACTAAAAATAGAAGTTCCATTTGACCCAGCTATTCCCCTTCTAGCTATCTTTCCAAAAAAGTTAAAGACATCATCCCACAGTGATGTATGCATACCCATGTTTGGAGCAGCACAACTCATAATAGCTAAATCTTGGAAGCAGCTTCTATGTCCATCAGCAGGCGAATGGATAAAGAAAATGTGGTATTTACACACAATGGAGTACTACTCTGCCATAAAGAAGGATAAATCTGAGTCATTTGTAGGAAAATGGATGCACCTTGATACTAAAATGTTAAGTGAAATAAATCTGACATACAAGCTTAAATATCACATGGTTTCTCTTACATGAGAAACTCAATATATAAATAAAGTACAAAATAAAAGACAGGGCTGGGGATTTAGCTCAGTGGTTCCGGTGCTTGCCTCACAAGTGCAAGGTCCTGAGTTTGATCCCCGGTACC